AATGTGTTCCACAATATAAACAGATTGAAAGTAAAAAAAAAACACATGATCACTTCACTAGATACAGAAAAGACACTTGACAAAGTCCAACACCACTTCATGATAATAGTCCTGGAGGGATTAGGGACACAAGAGACATACCTCACCATAGTAAATACAATAGAGAACAAGCCCATAGCCAACATCATCTAAAATGGAGATAAACTCAACGCAATTCCACTAAAATCAGGAACAAGACAAGGTTGTCCACTCTCCCCATACCTGTTCAATTCAGTACTTGAAATATTAGCTAGAGTAATAAGACAACAAAAGGAGATCAAGGGGATACAATTCAGAAAGATGGAAGTGAAAGTAACTTTATTTGCAGATGACATAATAGCATATATAAATGCCCCCTAACAATTCCACCAGGAAATTCCTACATCTGATTAACACTTTCAGCACAGTAGCTGGTTACAAAATTAACTCACAAAATAAATAGCCCTCCTATATACAAATGACAAACAGTTTGAGAAATAAATCAGGGCAACAATACCTTTCACAATAGCCTCAAATAATATAAATACTCTGGGCTATCACTAACTGTACTGGCTGGTTTTGTGTGTCAGTTTGAGACAAAAGCTAGAGTCATCAGAGGAAGCAGCCTCAGTTGAGGAATTGCCTCGATGAGATCCAGAGGTAAGGCATTCTCTCACTTTGTGATCAACAGGGAAGGGCCCAGCCTGTGGTGGTTAGTGCCATCCCTGGGCTGTTGGTCTTAGGTTCTATAAGAAGGTGGGCTGAGCAAGCCAGTAAGCAGCACCCCTCTGCGGCTTCTGCATCAGCTCCTGTTTGAGTTCCTCTCCTGACTCCTTCAGTGATGAACAGCAATGCTGAAGTGTAAGTCAAATAAATCCCTTTCTTCCCAACTTGCTTTTTGGTCATGATATTTCATCATAGCAATAAAAATCCTAACTAAGACACTAACCAAACAAGGGAAAGACTTGCATGATAAAAACTTGAAGTCTTTGAATAAACTGAAGAAAATATGAGAAGATGGAAATGTCTTCAATGCTCATGGATCTGTAGGAGTAACATAAAAATGACAATCATAACAAAGCCAATCTACAGATTCAATACAATCTCCATCAAAATTCCAACAGAGTTCTTCACAGATCTTGAAATGACAATTTTCGGCTTCATATGGAAACACACAAAAAATTCAGGATAGCTGAAACAATCCTGAATGATAAAAGAAGCTTTAGAAGTCTCACCATCCCTGATTTCACATTGTACTACGGAGCTATAGAAATAAAAACCACATGGTATTGGCATAGAAACAGACACACTGATCAATGGAATCCAATTGAAGAACCAGATATAAATCCACACGTCTATGGACACCTGAGTTTTGATAAAGAGGGCAGAAATTCATACTGAAAAAATGACTGCTTTTTCAACAAATGGTACTGGCCATACTGGATGGCTGTATGTAAAAGAATTAAAATAGACCCATACTTATAACCCTGCATAAAACTCAAGTTCAAATAGATCAAAGACTTTAACATAAAACCAGATACACTGAACCTGATAGTACAAAAAGTGGGGAATAACCGTGAAATCATTGGCATAGGAAAGGGCTTTATGAACACATCATTGTAAGCACAGGCACTAAGATCAATCATTAATAAATGGGACCTCATGAAACTAAGAAGATTCTGAATGGCAAAGGACACTGTCATTCAGACAAGTGGCAATCTACAGAATGAAAATGGTTTTTTTTAGATCAGCTCCACACTGGCTAGAAGACTAATATCCAAAATATATAAAGAACTAAAAAAAACCTAAATATCAAGAAAACAAATATCCCAATTTTAAAAATCGGTACAGATTTAATAAACCAAGAATTCTCAATAGAGGAAACTCAAATGGCCAAAAAGTACTTAAAGAAATTTTCAATGGTCTTTAGGGAAATGCAAATCAATACTACTTTGAGATTCCATTTTACATCTCTTAGAATGGCTAAGATCAAGAAATCATGCTGGGGAAGATGTGGAGTAAGGGGAACACTCCTCCATTGCTGGTAGAAGTGAAAACTTGTACAGTCACTCTATAAATCATTGTGATGGTCCCCCAGGAAGATGGGAATGGATTTACCCCCAGATCCAGCTATATCACTCTTGGGCATATACCAGAAAGATGCTTCATCATACCACAGGGACACTCACTGTTTTATTTATAATAGCCAGAAACTGGAAAAAACCTGGATGTCCCTCAACAGAAGAATGGATAACGAAATTTGCAGGCAAATAGATGAACTAGAAAAATCATCCTGAGCGAGGTATCACAAACCCAGAAAGACAAATATGGTATATATTTCCTTACATGTGGCTATTAACTTCTAAGTCAATGGTAACCAAACTATAGTGTGTAGAACCACAGAGGGTAGTTATAAAGCAAGACACTATATGGTACAGATATATCTCCTTTACAAATGGAAATAGAATACATAGTTGTGGATGGATTTGTGGGGGGCTGGACAGGAGGATCTAGTGGGGTTGAGGAAGGGAATATGATGGAGAGAGATAGATCAAATTAAGGGACATTTGAGGGGTAGTATGAAAACCTAATGCAGTAGAAACTCCCTACATGTTTATACATATATAAACATGATCTAAAGTAAACCACCAAATAGTGGAGGAGACAGAGGTCTCCCTGGCCATCTCTTCTCCCCAAATGAAGCATTTTGTCCCAGGTTTTGGTTACATCTAAACCGAGTTGTTGGCCAAAGAGGACAAATGGGAATCCCCAAACAACCCAGGCTGCTGCCAAGACTATAGGTTGCTCTCTACAAATTGACAGCAAGGCCCTATTGCTGAAGACAACATCAACACAACTCAATGAACATGGACATGTCAAGCTGGTCTACACATATAGCTTTCATTCCTATGTTCCAGCATCTTTGATATAGTAATGTATTCTACATCATATCAAGAGAGAAATGTAAACTCCAAGCCAGTCACAAACCCTTTATCTACAATGGTGTCCTGCCTTCAAGATAAACTAGGACAATTGTAGCACAAAGCTTATGGGAGTAACGAATCAATATCTGATTTGATTTAAGGTATGCTTCACAAACTGAAAACACACACCTGACAGTGCCTGGGTGACTAAAAATCTGAGTCTAAAAGTACATAGACCTAGGATAAAATCAAATAATACTGATCTAAAGTGATAGTGATAAAATGATCCTAATGATTATCTGCTTTACTCACAGATCAACCATCATCAGAGAAGCTTCTTCCTTCAGCAGGTGAGAATACAGAGACCCACAGCCAGACATTAGCAGAAAATTCTTGGTACACTCAGCACTAGATGGGATGCCTCTATCAAAGCCCTTCCCTCCAAGCTCAGGGAGTCCAGGGGAAGAGGAGGATGAAATAGTGTAGAGACAATGGGAATGGAGGATACCGGGAGAGCAAAACCGTCTGGATCAACATGAGCTAAGCACATATGAACTCACAGAGACTGAAGCAGCATACACAAGCCCTGAACAGGTCTGCACCAGGTCCTCTATGTTTATTTTATGGCTTCCAGTTTAGTGTTTTTATGGGACTCTTGAGTGTGTGAACTGATTCTTGTACCTTCTCTTGGGGCTCTTTCCCTTCTGGTTATCTAGTCCAAACTATTACTTTAATGTAATAGTTCGTGTTTTATCTTATATTTTATTATTGTCTTTTAGAAGACTTTTATTTTCTAATGAGATACAGAAAGGAAGTGGATCCAGACAGAAGGATGGTTCGGGAGGAACTGGGAGGAGCAGAAGGAGGGGAAACCATAATCAGAATATATTTTGTGAAAAAGAATCTATTTCCATTAAAAGGAAAAATAAAACATGAGATATCTTATAAAACTACTTACAAGTCCTCTAAGAATGCTTCTTGATTCACACTGAAGTTACATATGAATAAGTCCATTTAAAGTGAAAATCTTGTAAGTAAAATACATTAAATAAGCTGGATTTAGTGGGGGCACATGCCTGCAATCCTAGCAATCAAGAGGCCAAAGCAGAAACATCATGAGTTTGAGGCGAGCCTAGGTTACATAGAGTGTTTCAGGCTTCTCTAAGGTAAGAGAAGAAACACCAACCCCACTCTAAACCGAAACAAAACACAAACAAAAAACAAAATCCTTAAATCCAAATAACTACTGCACACCACAGGTTAGCAGCACCACACATTGTTGGGTCTTTGGGGCCTCCCCTAATGATTGCAAGATTGATTAGGCATTACAAGAGAGCCTCACACTATAAGTAGCTAACCTGAAAAATATCAAACATCAAAATATACAGTACTGCTATTGATGAACTACTGTTTTGCACCATCAGAAAATTAAACTATTAAAATCAGGGGCCATCTGTACTAGTAAAAGTAAGATTAGTATTAATGGCTTCTACTAATACTGAGTTTTGTGGTATAAAGGAAATATGAGAGTATGGCTGAATTTTTTTAATTTATAATTTTTCCTCTTTTTAAATTTAAATTAGAAACAAGCTTGTTTTACATGTCAATCCCAGTTCCTCTCTCTGTCCCCTCCTCCCTGCTCCCCACCAAACCTCTATCCCATCCCCTTTCTGCTCCCCAGGGAGGGTGACGCCTTCCATGGGGAATTTTCAAAGTCTGTCATATCATTTGGAGCAGGGCCTAGACCCTCCCCGTGTGTCTAGGCTGAGAGAGTATCCCTCTATGTGGATTGGGCTCCCAAAGTCCATTCTTATACTAGGGAGAAATACTGATCCACTACTAGCGACCCCATAGATTAACCAGACTTCCAAATTGACATCCTCGTTCAGGGGTCTGTAACAGCTCTATGCTGGTTTCCCAGCCATCAGTCTGGGGTCCACGAGCTACCCCTTGTTCAGGTCAGCTGTTTCTGTGGGTTTCTCCAGTATGGTCTTGATCCATTTGCTCATTACTCCTTCCTCTCTGCAACTGGATTCCAGGAATTCAGCTCAGTGTTTAGCTGTGGTTATCTGCTTCTGCTTCCATTAGTTACTGGATGAAGGCTCTAGGATGGCATATGAGGTAGTCATCAATCTCATTATTGGAGAAGCGTACTCAAGGTAGCCTCTCCACTATTGCTTAGATTCTTAGTTGGGGCCATCCTTGTATATCTCTAGACATTTCCCGAGAACCAGGATTTCTCTTTAAACCTGTAATGGCTCCCTCTATTATGGTATCTCTTTTCTTGCTCTCCTCTATTCTTCCCCTGACTCTGATCTTCCTGCTCCCTCCTGTCTTCTTCTCCCCTCCTCTTTCCTCTAACTCCCTCTCTCCTCCTCCCATGTTCCAAATTAGCTCAGGAGATCTTGTCCCTTTCCCCTTCTCCTGGCAACCGGCAACCATGTTATGTCTGTCTCTCTTAGGGTCCTCTTTGTTTCCTAGTATTGCTGGATTTTAATTAGGTTAACTACTGTTTGAAGGCAAGGTTTAAATGATTCCACCAGATCCAAAACAAGTGATAAATAGGTACTTATTAGGGAAGTGCTTACACAAACAATATTAAATAACCACAATGACCCTCTTGCTCCAGAAGCTGCAGTCTCTGACTTTCCAGTGCTCTCACTGCAACCCAAGAGAGCAAGCCAGCCCCTCCTCTACCATATAAGAGGTCAGGTTTGCTCACCTGAAGCCACGCCCATAGGGTGTGGCCACCACCACAAGTTCACTGGTAAAGCAAGATGCCACTACAACTGTTCAATTTAAGTGGTCCCAATGTTAGTCAGTGATGCACATTTGTAAGGTATCAGGTGGCATTAAACATTCTTTCAGTAAAATAGCTTGTATAGTGCTTCAATATTCTGTTTGATACATAGCTTATTTGTATTCCAAGTAAATATTGGATCATGCCATGAATAACAAGATGAAATGTCTGTGAGTACATTGTCTTTAAAAAACAAAGGTGTGGGGACAGCCAGAGATAGCTCACCAGGTATAGCAACCTGTTGCAAAGCTGATGACTGACTTGGATTCTTGGGACTCACATGAAACGAGAAAAGGGACTCTCAAAAACTGTGCTCTGAACTCCACACATTTGTGCACCTTGATGTCTGTACACATCTACATGAACTGAATTGATAGATGTAATTAAAAAGAAAAATAGATACAATTATGTGCACTTTCATTTTATATGAGTGGTAAAAGAAAAAACAGGGTTTTAAATCTATCACATTCTAGAAAGAGTTAAGTCTTGACAACTCAAGGATTTTTCTCTGCATGCAGATGATACCTCCAGAATGGTGATTTTTTTCTCCATTCAAAGTCATATTAAGTTCAGAATATATGCCCAATCTAGAGGCTGAGATAAGACAGAGATAAATGCGTCTGCAGACTTAAAGGAAGGTGAAATTCCATTATTTGTAACAAACTGGATGTGACCTGCTGTCATTATATTAAGTGGAACAGAAAAACAGGTACTGCGTGTCCTTATATGTGGGAATTAAAATGTTGACATTAATGAAGAATGGTGATTATCAGAGTTTGGGGATGACAGATAAAGGGAGGCTGAATTTTTTCTCTCACAGTACTGGATGTTGAATCCAGGGCCTTTCAAACACTAAGCAAGTCCTCTACACTGGGCCTAGGAAGCTGAATTTGATCAGTACATGCTGTATATATCTGATAAAATAGTACATTGCATCTCATTTGTTTGTAAAATTAACATATAGCAATAAAATAAAACTTCAGTGGAACTAAAGACTTTGAAAACCCTGCCAAAAACACTGATTTTTTAAAAATACCTTCTCTAAGATGCCCTTGAGTTCTGTCCAAATTATGTTTCATATAGTTTGCCCTTTTATTGATAATTAATATTCCATGGCATAAATTACCACTATTTGTCTAATCAATCATCTATTAAAGGACATTTTGGTTCTTTTCAGTTCACATTCCAAGGCTTAAATCTCACCAATTGTATTTATTCATTCTTGTTTTTCTAATTTTTTATATAATAATTTTTTAAATTTAACTTTTTATACATGTTATTTTCAGTTTCTTCTCTCTCCCCTCCTCCCCTGGCCCCTCCATTCCTCCCAACCCCCCATCCCACTCCATCTCTCCTCCGCTCCCCAGGGAGGGTAAGACCTTCCATGAGGGATTTTCAGAGTCTGTCATATAATCCCGGGCAGGGCCTAAGTCCTCACCCATGTGTCCAGGCTGAGAGAGCATCCCTCCATGTGGAATGGGCTCCCAGAGTCCATTTGTATGCCAGGAATAAATACTGATCTACTCTCCAAGGTCCCATAAATTGCCAAGGCCTCTTCTCTGACACCGAGGTTGGGGTGTGTATGTCTGGATCAGTCCCATGCTCGTCTCTCAGTCATCAGTCTGGGGTCCATGCATTCCCCCTTGTTTAGGTCAGCTGCCTCTGTGGGTTTCTCTAGCCTGGTCTTGATTCCTTTGCTCTTCACTGCTCTTTGCAACTGGGTTCCAGGAGATCAGATTGGTTTTTAGCTCTGGGTGTCTGCCTCTGCTTCCATCAGTCACTGGATGAAGTTGACTGTCTTATGTTTTGTTTCTCTGTATTTTCCCTGCCTTTTTGTGAGTTACTTGAACATTTTTTAAGAACTGGATTTCATTTAATCATTGTGTTTTTCAAGTGTATTTCTTTTCATTTTTTTATTGGTCTGGCAGCAGAAGGGGATGTCATTTTGCTACTACTCGGTGTAGAACAAAGTATTAATTGGTTCCTGTATCAGTTACTGCTCTGTTGCTGTGATAAAACAGACTAAAAGTAATTTATGGATGAACGGGTTTAGTTGGCTTACAGGTTATAGCCCATCATCTAAGGAAGCCAACACAGTAACTTGGAGGCAGGAACTAAAGTAGAGCCAAACACTGAAGCAGACATCACGGAGGAATGTAGTTTACTTACTGGCTTGCTCCCCATGGCTTACTCTGCTTCCTTACACACACCAGGTCCCGTTGGACCCTCCTACATCAACTAGCAATCAAGACAAATTCATCAGTTAATCTGATGAAGCAATTTCTCAGCTAAGAGTCTCTTTTCCTAGGTATGCATAGATTTGTGTCAAATTAACAAAAACTACCCAGCACAGTTCCCCTTTCAGCTTCCATTGACACCTGGGGGAAGAGTCTCATCTTTAGCACTTGGCAAGCGAGAGTTTAAGTTTCTTCCCATATCTTTGCCAATACAATCTTAGGTGAGAGAGACAGAAGTCCCTTGCTATGTCCTCATGACCTCCATCAACACCATGGTGTGGGGTGTGCTTTTAACTAACTATAGTGGTGAGAAGAGGAGGGATCCTCTTATCTCCTTGTAACCATGGGTGCATCCTACCAAAGGGGAATTGTTATTATCACTTGCAAATTGCCTTTCCTGATACCATTATGATAGAGGGTTTGGGTTCTTTGTTACAAGTAGGCATAAGCAAGAGTCTACAGTTTTTCACATCTAGTTTTTTAATAATTACATTTTTCCTTTACCTTTTGTTCCTTCAAGTGCTCCCACATACTCCTCTACAGTCTCCTTCAAATTCATGACCTCTTTTTTCATTATCACTTAACTTTTGTTGGCTTAGACAGTGGGATATTTTGTTTTCTGTACTGTTTGCATGGAGTAGACTGACAGCTTGTTAAAAATGAATGTCATGAAAAGTTGCTCCATTTCCTGTTCCTTTGTCTAGAGAGTATGGGCTTTTCTTCTATCTATGCTTATGGATATTTCCAGTCTATCAGCTTCTCCACAACCCAGCCTGGGATATATGAGAAGGGAGGAAGCTGTGAGGGAACTTGTTGATGTTTCATTTGGGGTTTCTGTGGTCTATAACTAACTTGTCTTATTCTGCTGCTTACCTTTCGAAGTTTTCCTATGTTTTTGGTATATACAATGTTCAGTGTTTACAATTCTACTTGGAGGGAGAGAGTTTAAAAGTAAATGTAATACATTTCTGGGGAGCAGAAGTTTCTCTTGTTTTGTCTTTAAAAATCATTTTGTCATGGAAAATTTAATATATAAAATAGAGAAATTAATAGAATAAACCTACATGTCAGCTACAACAGTTCTTGAAATTTTGTTACTCTTGATTCATGTATCTCTCACATACTTTTACTGTTATTAAAAATTAAAATCCTAGATATATTATTTTAATCAGTGTAAGTATGCATCTCTAAAAAGAAAATGTTTTTATATAATTATGTTACCACTGTCATAATTTACTAACAGTAACCCTTTAGTGTCATGAAGTAGCAGTTTATACTGAAAGTCTCTTGGTTGTCTCAAGAAATGGGTTTTTGTTGCTTTTATTTTTAAGATAGGTTGATGCTAAACTCACTATGTAACCTAAGCTGTCCTCAAATCTCATAGTCCTCCTGCCTCAATCTCCTGAATGCTGGAATTGTAGGTAGGAGCCACCACATCAGCTTAGGAAGTGAGTTAAAAGTTGATTTTTTTCAAAATAGTATCCAAGCAAAATATTATATTTGGTTTTTAAGTTTCTTTAAAATTCTGTAACTTTAGCATGATTTACCTCATTCCTTTAAAATGTAATTTATCATTGAATAAAACAGATAAATATATTGTAAAAATTCCACATTTTGGATTTGGCTGATTGTTTAATTGAACTTGTCTTAATTTTTATATTCACCATAAACCATGAGTTATTGGTGCAAGATAATTGATTGGATTTAGTTTCCATTTTCTTTTTACTTTTGGCATTGATACCTAATAGGAGGTGCTGTGTGCTTCCTACTGTATTGTGCCAGGAGGCACATAACATACATTTGCTTCATCCACTGTGGTAATTAAACCTTGAGCAATGTTTCAAGTTGGAAAGTTTCCCACATCATTTTACTTATTTAAAAAATTCATTTATGAGCATTGTTCTAGACTGATGGTTCTCAACTGGAGAGGATCCCATCCCCCAAGGGACATTTAACAATATTCAGAGACATTTTACTCTTAACCACTGTATAAAGGTTTATTTCTGGGCCAGCAAAATTGTTCAGTGGGTAGAGCATTTACTGCCAATCCCAGCAACTTGAATTTGATCCTTGGAACCCACCTGGTAGAAAGAAAGGACTGACTCCTATAGATCATGCATAGACATCCACACTATTTTCATGGTACATGCTTCTACCCCCATGAAATAAATCATTTTTAAATGTAAAAAAAGTTTAAAAATGTGTTTTGCTCTCCAACTTACATGTATTTTTATTTCCATCATAATTTTGGCAACCAGTTCCTTAATAATGGTATTTCCCCCTGCAGTCTGTGCTATTGCATATTGTTACAATGAATGTCCTTGTTCATTTGTCATTTTGGACTTTAGCTAGTGTATTTTTTAGTTTGATTCTTAAAAGTGGGACTGTTGGATTACATAACGAACACGTAATTTTTGCTACACATACTAAATTTCTCTCTGTTGAGGTTATGTAATGTTGTTTGCCTTGCTCTTGGAGGGCTTAGACAGATGAAATGGTGATTAAGATTTGATCTGCTAGCCTACCCAAGCTTTCAACCCTGGGAGAAGTGATAAGGACCAACAAACACAAGAGCCAGATTCCACAATTTGGTGAGTAAAATTTCAGAAGCCATTTCATAGCTTAGGTCCATGGTAAATCTAGATTCCACACGGCCAACATCCAGCACTTCACACAGATTTGTCGATTCCAGTGTGTGCTTTTTTTTTTAGAGACAGGATCTCATGTAGTCCAGGTGGTCTCAAACTCTCCAAGAATCACCCTGAACTTCTATGTGCCTGTTTTATGCTATGTTGGGGATCAAACCCAGGATTGCATGCTAGGCAAGCACCATACCAATGGAGTTTCATCCCACCACTCCCCAGTATTTTCTTAAGATGCAAAGTTAAGATAGGTGGTTGTACCTGCATGCAGAAGGATTACTAGATAATATGCGATTCAGTAGGCAGAGAATCAAAAGTGCAAGCCAAATGAGCCAGTAGAACTAAATTCAGAGCTTTTGAAGATGAATAGAAGCTACCAACAGACAATCTGGTAGTAATATGTGGCAAAAAATGAGGAAATGGCTTGTTAGGACATGATGCAGTGTAATCTTTATCTTTGTGGCAACTCCCATAGCCGTGCATTTGTTTTCTCTTTTGAGTCCCCCTTTTCACTTAGAGAAGGGAATAGGCTATTGGAATTCCATGTGTGCAAGATATCTGGAGCCAGATAGATGTGTGCTAAAAGGAATCCTTCAGTCCCTGCATTTTCTATCCTATCCTTTCCCAGAACTCCAGGCTCATTGGTGTTTTCTGCATGCCTGTGGTGGAGCCAGATAACCCTGATTTCTAGTTCCCTGGTTACTAGTAAGGCTGTTGTGGGGGAGGGAAGGGAAGGGTACATAGGTTCACTCTGCTATGATGGGAAGCAGGAGCTGCTAAGCTGACTCTTAGTCATCATAAATGAGCCCATAGACTGGCTAGTCCTGAGCTTAGAGAAATTTAATATGGTCCAAATGGGCTGGGTAGAGCTCAGTTCCCAGACTTAGGGTTTTGTGTGTGGTTTTTGCTATTTTCTTTTTCTTTAGCTTATAGAAGACTTACCAGCCACTGGTGAGAAATGAAAGGCATGGAAAAAATAGGAATCAAACATCTGATTATTGAAGTTGGATTCTGAATGAGAAGAAGCATAGAATCTAGAGAATAAACATAAGCAAATTCAAGGTATTTTATTCGCGAAGAATGATTTCATGATGGGGGACCAAATCCAGCCTACTGTATGGATGCTAAATAATAATACCACTGAGCTACATCACCAGAACTTTAAATATTTTTGTGCTTTAGTCCTCCCATGAATAGTGAGAATAACACAATAATATTAGTACTTATATCATCAGTGTGTTATAAAGTTAAATAACATAGTGAATGACTTATAAAACGGTACTTGACATATCATTAGATATGTTTGTTACTATTGTTATTAGATTGTAATTATTGTATGAAAGCCATAAATCATACCATGTCATTTCTTTAAAACCCACAAATAATTCTCAATGCAATTGCAATATGGCTCCAGATGATCAAGGCCCTCCTTATACCTCTCATTTGTGTCTTATACCACTATTTTCTTCTTAGTACAAGTCTCAAGCTGTTCTTGCCTTATTTTCATTTCCTGAAATGAAGGCTCTCTCCCCTCTTCCCCTCCCTCCCTGTCTGTTTCCCTCTCTTCTGTCCCTTCTTCCTTCCTCCCCTCTCTCTTTTCTCACCTCTCTGTCTGTGTCTCTGTCTCTCTCTGTGTCTCTGTCTCTGTCTCTCTCTCTCTCTCTCTTGTTTCAGGTCCTTTGTCCTTGCTCTATACTCCTACAACCACTAAAAAATAAAATATAAAATAACTTTCTCAAAAATGAGATACTAAAATCAAGAACCCACAAGTATGCCGGAGAGATATCTCAGTGCTTAAAAGCACTTACTGTTTTTGTACACACTATGTAGTCCAAACTGGCCTCAAACTCACAGAAATTTGCCTGACTCTTCTGGAATTAAAGGTATGCACCACCACTGCCCAGTCTTAAGAGGAACTGAAGCTTATGCTTGGACCTTTAGAACACTCACCTTTTGGAGATCTCTTATGACCCATTTGCTGAGCTTGGTGGTTACCTAGAACTCCAGTTCTAGCCCTCTTCTGACCTCCACAGGCATCAGGTACACATGGGTGCTAAGACATACATACAGGCAAAATATTCATATAAAACAATAAAATCAACATATCTAAAATATTTTTTATTTAAATTAGAAACAAGCTTGCTTCACATGTTGATCCCAGATCCGTATCCCTCCCCTATTCCCCCATCCCCCCACCCAATCCCCACTCTGATCCCCAGGGAGGGTGAGGCCCTCCATGGGGGATCTCCAGAATCTGTCACTAAAATAATTTTTTTAAAAGCTTGAGAAATGTGTTTATACAATAATCTCAAATATATGGTAAAGTATAACATATAGCAGCGATAAATGGATAGTATATATTAGAATCAAACAGACAAAAAGCTTAAGAGTTAAGAGTCCCAAACTATATTACAGCTATTATGTTTGAATCCTAGATCTAAACTAATCTGTGTGTGAGTGTGGGCATCATTCTATCTTTCTTTGCCTTGCTTTCCTTGATTGTAAAATGAAAAGTATAACAGCATTTTTTCTTAAAATTATAGCAAGGGTTAAACAAGTTTAATAGGATAGTGTACTTCCAGGGTCATTTAAGTGTTATTTAAGGTGATTAATAAGAATTTAAAGCCATATAGTGGTGGTGCATGCCTTTAATCCTAGCACTTGGTAGGCAGAGGCAGGTGGATCTCTGAGTTCAAGGTCAGCCTGGTCTACAGAGTGAGTTACAGGACAGTCAGGGTTACACAGAGAAACCCTGTCTCAGGGAAACAAAACAAAACAAGAATTTAAAAGATGCTGGGCTTTGTGGTGTATGACTTTAATCTCAGCACTAGGGAGACAGAGGCAGGAAGATTCCTGTGAATTGGAGAAACTGCCCAGAGAAATCCTGTCTCATTAAAACAAAGGAAAACAAAACAAAACGAACAAAAAGAATTTACAAGAAAACTAGGCAAAGAATGTTACCAAGAAATTCACAAGAAAAGGTAAAACAGCCAACAGACTTGAAAATACAGAGGACTTCACTTATGATAAAACTTCATCTTTTGCGTTCCAGAAATATTTAACTATACAAAAGACCAAAGTAGATATTGAGACTAGATGAATGAGCAATTTACATTCATTGAGTTAGATTATGTGAATCTGTATGCATGTATAATATTTAATAATATACCCATGGAGTGTTATTTAATAATTTATGTGGTGATGGTATTATAAAGAAAAATAAAACAGGGATGAGATACTATTTTATATAATGGCCAAGGAAGGACTCTGAGTTAAGGTGACGTTTAAGGACATCTAAACAGTGAACTGAAGAAAGAAAGAGAGAAAATCATGATGATTTCCTTTTTATATTAAAATAGTTACATATATTTATTTATCTACATGTGCATGGCTTGCATGTGGAAGACACAGGACAACATGTGAAAATGGTTCTCTTCTTTCATTATGTGGGTCTCAGGAATTGAACTCAGGCTGTCAGGTTTGGTGGCAAGCACAAAAGTGCTAGCTCAAGCCATGAGAATCTCTGAGACCAAAAGAAACAAGGGCTTAGGCTTGGAAGCAGTAGTATGTATCATCTGTTTGATGCAAGGCCAAGCTGATAGGTAAAGAAGTCTAAGTAACCAATGAGAGATTTGGTAGGCCCTAAAAGGCCAGAATAAGGACCCGAGACTAGACTAGGAGTGACATAGACCACCTATGGTCACTTAACACATAATTTGGACCCAAATAATAATAATTTCCAAGGATTACATCAATTCTAGGATACTATTATTTTTTATTTATTTTATTTGCGCTTTTGTTTTTTATGTTTATTTTATGTGTTTTGGCTGTGTACCATGTGTAGCTGTTGCCTGCTGAGGCCAGAGAAGTAGTCAGATCCTCCTGGAACTACAGTTATAGATGTGAGTTGCCACATGGGTCCTGGAATTGAACCCAGATCCTTTGGAAGAGATTCTAGTGTTTTAACTGCGGAAACATCTTCTCTTCAGCCTGTGAATCTAGGGCATTATTGGCTGTGAGACATACCAGTATTTTATGTACCCACAACAAAGAAACCAAAATAATGCTGAACATGTTCATAAAGTATCATTCAAAGACTCCAGCAATATTTGAACATGAAGAGCTATGTGCTTCTTAGGGTTGATAAATTAAAATACTCTTCTTCATGAAAGGATACACCAGGAAGTGGTCAGATTTTTGGTCTTTCTACTGTGATTGGCTACAAGATGGTTTCTACTACAGTCACTAACTCCTCATTTCCAGGAGGAAGAAAGGAGAAGTGAGAAGATGCCTTTTAGTCTTCCATATTAATTTAGATTGTCCTGTAAAGTCTCTCATAAAAAAACTCATTGTAATTTTATTGGGATTTCATTGTATGTGTACAGCCAATTTAGAGAAAACACCTGTGTAGGCATAGTCTCATTTACATTTCATAAAAGGATATATGCATAAAATGCTTATATTTGCATAGAAATTTTCTCACAAATTTCAGGGAAATGGAATTGAGTATAATTGGTGAGGAAGAGAGGGACTTTCATTTTTCACACCATGCCCTCCCTTCTATACATTTCTAAGAAACCCATATGTATATGTATATATATATATGGTGATATTTACAGACATACACATATATATGTAACTTTTATTATAAGAAATATAATATAAACCAGTGACTTTCAAAATGGAGTGTGCTTTGCCCAGGAGTATGGGAAACTAAAGAGAATCAATTTTTACATCCTCCAATTTCATATGTAGTGTTTTAAGATTGATCTGCCAGAGAACATAGTTGTGATAGAGGAATCAGCTGGTTCTCTTTTTCCCATCTCCAGTTTCACATGTTTCTTTTTGCACTTACAAAAGAAAATCGCCTTTTACCATCCTGAGTCTCACCCGCATGCAGTGTGAAATCCTCAGGGTGCCAGAGAGACAATTCTGAACACCACATCTATAGCGAACAAACAAATTGCTCTGACAGTGCATGGGAATCGAATCTTTTCTAACCTCAGATGGTTCCTAATTGTTTGTTTCCAATAAAATTGAAGAAACTCCCAGTGGAGTCCTCAGTTGATAAATCAAAAGAAGGAGTTTTGAAGCTAAACCATTGTGTGATACTTTCAAAAGGATGCAACAGCTTGAATGATGATGTCTCTAAAAGAAAATGCCTCTCCCCATTTAGTATATGAGAGGTTTCTCTATGTTAACATTTAGCCAAACACAGATTAGGAGGAACAGGATGCTTAACCCTGTCTCATTCGAGCAATGAACAATGTTAGTCCATTGGAACAACCCCTACCAAGTTGCTCTAAGTGGAAAAATATATGTTCTTGGGTCAAAAATTTGTTGGAAGAATACAGTAGACTTAAGAACGCCAGGAGAAAAGGGTGAAGATACAACTGGCAACTGTGATAGAAATCTATTGTGAGTTTTTAAAGAGAATGATGATGGTCCTCAGCTCAGTAATGTATTTAGGTTTCAACAGATTTGTGTAATGTACTGACGTAACAGTTTTATTTCTGAAGGTTAACACTTGTCAGAAATTACGTTTTTGCAGCCAAATGACATTTACGATGCAGAATTTTAGATGTCAACCAAAAACTGTGTGAAAGAGACCACGTTTTTCAAAATATTTTTAGAGAGCATTTTGATATAAACCAAGTTTTACATAAACATAGAAAAATGACTAGGAATTGTCACTTACTCTTTTGCCACCTTGTGGTGAGAACAGTATTTGACTCCTAGGCGCACGAACTGTGAGACAGAGCTGTCTGCCTGGAGGTCTCCTGTCAGTGTTTCCCAGGTCTTTGTGAGGCCGAGATGGTAACATCTGTTCAGGTCTCACTCCAGATTATACAAGCTCTGTACATCTAAATATTATGGTGGCTCCCACCACCGATGATTAAAACAAAAGCACAGTACAGTGAGGAAATAAATGTAAGAAAGTAACAAGTATGTTGTACATTTTCCAATAGGGGACTCTTTTTTATAAAAAGTACTCAGCTAGATTTTGGTATACTTATTTATTTAATGATTCCTATTTGGGGCTTCTTTCCTACTAGCTGTCCTAAAGACACTTCCTTAGTGTGTGTGTTCCTTTTAGGGAAGCCCAATCTGATTCTAATCCCGGGGTGTCTTTGGCTCAGTGCTGGGTCTCCAGTTCTTAGTACAATGCCTGGCTGTGAACGGGTATTGAATAACCATCTGTGGGGTGAATGGTGGCAGAGACATACACTTTCAGAACTTGCTGGTCTGGGTGGTGTCCAGGTGCCTCTGTGCGTTTTACAGGAAGTCGATTAGTTAGGCAACCAGGTTACATAGCTATTATTCAGTGGCAACTCTGCTAAGTATGGGGATCCTCAGGTTTTTTGTTGGTTGGAGCCTGTGAAAATAGGATGAAGGTACTCCTTGCCCTCTGCCCCCATGCTGCATGAGCTTAGTCTCTTCAGCAGCAGGGCAGCAGCAGCATTCCCTTAGTAGCCGTATTGCATTTCTTCTGTTGCAGACAACAAAGGGCAGGCATTTGTTGGAAGAATGATTCAAGGAACTGAAAACACAGCTGACTTAAGAAAGGCTGGCACTAAGGTAGCCTTAGGCTAGATAGGAACCAGACAGCCTCCCTAAGGGCTGGAGATTCCTGATTAATCCCGGAGGAGTCTGTCTTTGCTTCCTCTATGAAGTGACTCAGGTAGGGGCCCATTTCCAGGGGAGACCAGCGACACTTTGCTGTGCCTTGCAGGCAGGCACAGTCCCTAAAGCAGGCCTGCTGCCACACGGAGGCATCCTGCTCTTCTTAGATGACTCTCCCTTTGACCCCACAGGCCTTTGTCTGCACCCCCTGGAAGCAGCAGTTGCAGTTGCTTCTGACACCCCCTGCTTTGCCCAAGACCCGAGCCTCTTGTTCTGGGCACCTTTTTTTCTGGGATCCCGGATGCTGGGTTCCATGCAGCAGCCCCCACCCGAGACTGGTGTCCAGCCTTTCTCTTCACTGGCAGCTCCACAGATATTCCTTCTATTTCGACCTGCTGCTCACCCCAGACTCTGCTAAACCCTAAGAGCCTCTCAGACTTTGTAGTTTGGGTTTCTTTCAGCCTAGGGGAGGTGCCACCTGTAGGGATGGCCTTGAAGTGTCTGGTTTCTTTTGCTGGCCTTGCAGTGATGGTTTCTGCCCACAGGCTGCTCAGCGAGGGCTGTACCTGTGGTCCAGCTGTCAAACAGTCATCCTGCCCAGGGCCTTTGGGGGAGGAGGAGGGGGCGAGCAGCAGACCAGGAAGTTTAGGGCACTGATATGATAGTCAATGAGACTTGCCGCTTCAGGTGGAGCGGCCTTGGGAGCACCGTTGTCCCTCTAGATTTGGGGTCCAGGCTTACCCCTCAATGGAGTTGGAGGCTTGTTGGTTCTGGGAGGGCAGGAGTTGGACCCGAAGTGGAGACTGGGACATGCTTTGGGCAGGTTCAGCTGCTGGAATGATAGATGTCGGGGCTTCTGCCTTTATTCTTCACGACCACCCTGTGAAGGGATATTTCACAGCCTCAAAAACATTTCTGGGCAAGACCACGAAACTGCCCCCGGGCCCCACACGCTAGGGGAAGCCGGCATCCTTGAGGGCGGTATGAGAGGGGAGGAGACGGCCAAGGGGGTCAGAGCAGCGATTGGAGCTGAGAGCTGGAAGCGCCTTAAAGAGACTGCGCGGTTCCCGCCCCATTTCCCGCCAGCCTCAATGAATTAGAGCTGTGTTTCCCAAACTTGCCTGATCACTAGCAGCCTCTCCAGCCCTAGTTAGAGATCGAGGTTCCGGAGTACCTCCCTTCCAGAGTCTGATTCAGTAGGCCTGCGGGTGGAGCTGAGGAATCTGTAATTTTAACACGCTCCCCACGTGATTGTCGTGAACAAGCAAGTTTGGGAAATATTGAATTAAAGGAAACGGGGCCTGGCTGCCGAAGCGGCCTCCGCTAGGGGGCTTCGGCTGGAGCATTCCCGGGGGCGTCGCCTGCTTCCGCTGCCGCCTCCTTCAGTGAAAGTCCCTTTCGGGTCCAGCTGCCACAGTCACCGCGCTCCCTCAGGCCAGACCGGGGACACCCCAGGTCTGCGTGGCCCCCGCGCCACCACGCCCAGTGGCCGCCCGAGCCCCACGAGCAGGGGGAGGAGCCGCAGCCAGTGGAGGCGGAGGAGGCTGGAGGAGGCGGAGACGGCGGAGACGGCGGAGAAGGCATAGAGGAAGGTGGAGGCGGAGAAGGTGGAGGGGAAGGTGGAGGCGGCTGGGAAGGTGGACGCCACCGAGAAGGTGGAGACAGCGGGGAAGGTGGACGCCACGGAGAAAGTGGAGACCGCGGAGGATCCGGGCCGCGGGGCTGAGCTCAAGCTGGAGCCAGAGCCCAAGCCGGAGCCCGAGCCGGAGCCCGAGCCGGAGCCAGAGCCCGAGCCCGAGCCGGAGCCGGAGCCGGAGCCCGAGCCGGAGCCCGAGCCCGAACCGGAGCCGGAGCTGAAGCCGAAGCCCGAGCCGGAGCCCGAGCCCGAGCCCTTACAGGAGGCAGAGCAGGAACCTAAGGGGGAGCCCGAGCAGGAGCCAAAGGATGAGAACCCAGCGCAGAGCGGCGGTGGCGGCAGCGGCGACGAGGTTCCTCCCCTCACCCTTCCCTCCGATCCGCCGCGGGCCCCCGATCCCTCTCAGCGTCGCAGTCGTGCCCCGCGCCGCCGACCCCGGCCCCGGCCCCAGACTAGACTCCGTACCCCTCCGCAGCCTAGGCCACGGCCCCCGCCCCGGTCCCGGCCCCGGCGCGGTCCTGGGGGCGGGTGCCTGGATGTGGATTTTGCTGTGGGGCCACCAGGTTGTTCCCACGTGAACAGTTTTAAGGTGGGAGAGAACTGGAGGCAGGAATTGCGGGTTATCTACCAGTGCTTCGTGTGGTGTGGAACCCCAGAGACCAGGAAAAGCAAGGCAAAGTCGTGCGTCTGCCATGTGTGTGGCACCCATTTAAACAGACTCCACTCTTGCCTTTCCTGCGTCTTCTTTGGCTGCTTCACAGAGAAACACATCCATGAGCACGCTGAGACAAAACAGCACAACTTAGCGGTAGATCTTTATTATGGAGGTATATACTGCTTCATGTGTAAAGACTATGTGTATGACAAAGACATTGAGCAAATTGCCAAAGAAGAGCAAGGGGAAGCCTTGAAATTACAAGCCTCCACCTCGACAGAGGTTTCTCAGCAGCAGTGTTCAGTGCTGGGTCTTGGTGAGAAATATCCCACCTGGGAAATGACCAAACCTGAGTTGGAACTGCTGGGGCACAACCCACGGAGAAGAAGAATCGCCTCCAGCTTTACCATCGGTTTGCGAGGACTAATTAATCTTGGCAACACGTGTTTTATGAACTGCATTGTCCAGGCCCTGACCCACACTCCAATACTGAGAGATTTCTTTCTCTCTGACAGGCACCGCTGTGAAATGCCCAGCCCTGAGTTATGTCTGGTCTGTGAGATGTCTTCGCTCTTTCGGGAGCTATATTCTGGAAACCCATCTCCTCATGTTCCCTATAAGTTACTACACCTGGTGTGGATACACGCTCGTCACTTAGCAGGGTACCGGCAACAGGATGCCCACGAGTTCCTCATTGCTGCCCTAGATGTCCTGCACAGGCACTGTAAAGGTGACGATGTTGGCAAGGTGGCCAGCAATCCCAACCACTGTAACTGCATCATAGACCAAATCTTCACAGGTGGCCTGCAGTCAGATGTCACCTGCCAAGCCTGCCATGGTGTCTCCACCACCATAGACCCATGCTGGGACATCAGTCTGGACTTACCCGGCTCTTGTACATCCTTCTGGCCTATGAGTCCAGGGAGGGAGAGCAGCATGAATGGGGAAAGCCACATACCAGGCATTACTACCCTCACAGACTGCTTGAGAAGGTTTACAAGGCCAGAGCACTTGGGAAGCAGTGCTAAAATCAAGTGTGGTAGTTGCCAAAGCTACCAAGAATCTACCAAACAGCTCACTATGAAGAAGTTACCAGTTGTTGCCTGTTTTCATTTCAAACGGTTTGAACACTCAGCCAAACAGAGGCGCAAGATCACTACATACATTTCCTTTCCCCTGGAGCTGGATATGACACCGTTTATGGCGTCAAGTAAGGAGACCCGAATGAATGGACAGTTGCAGCTGCCAGCCAACAGTGGGAACAACGAGAATAAGTATGCTTTGTTTGCGGTGGTTAATCACCAAGGGACCTTGGAGAGTGGCCACTACACCAGCTTCATTCGGCACCACAGGGACCAGTGGTTCAAGTGTGATGATGCCGTCATCACCAAGGCCAGTATTAAAGATGTGCTGGACAGTGAAGGGTATTTACTGTTCTATCACAAACAGGTCCTGGAACCTGAGTCAGAAAAGGGGAAAGAAACGAATACACAAGCTTACTGAAACAACGCACAGGCCTACCTGTAATGGAAGATGATGACACTCGTACTACAACGGGCATCGAGATTTAATTGATCTACTAGACTGAGGCCGATGGGCCTCATAGAGTAAGAATTTAACAGTACCCAGTGTCCAAAAGGTCCCTATTGGAAGAGAAATAGGGAGGGCAAAGAGGCACTAGTCTAAGCAGTCATGTGAAAGAAATTAAGTGGCAGGAATGTTTTGGGTGGGAAAGGCAGAGCAGGGAAATTGTGACACTGGTTCATCTCCTATATTCCTCCAAAAGATTGTGTGGGAAGGTGTAGGGGGGAGGGGGGTGGTGTTGGGGGGGGTTGTGTGCCCTTGTAACCGTAAAACATCTTTCTCCATGGGTGTTTCAGCTTCAATTGACCAATCATGTAACAGTTACATGTTTGTGGGAGGAAAAGGAAACGTGAATTAAAGTGTAGCCCATTGTGTACATGGGCTGAAAGCAGAACAGGGGAGGAGGCTCATTGACAGACACCTTTGCCAGTTTCTTTGTATTCGTGATTTCTGTGCTACTAAATGCAGTATTAAAAACAGCCCCCACGGGCTGGTGAAAGGAGAAGACGTAAGGGGCTTGTGGAAGGGGAGCAGGTGCCCCAGCAGTAGAGAAGGCTAGAAATGCTGTAAGATCAGCAGTTAACAAGAACAGGCCTCAGTTGACGGTGGAGTGTGTGTTTTATTTTAAAAAGCTGTATGATATACTTGAGCAAATCAGTGAATCTCTTTGCGATTGTTTTCTCATCTGTAACATGCAGGTAATTCCTACTTAAAAGGTTGTTGTTAAAGATTAAATGATATAAAATGTGTCAAAGTAAAAGGCTTGGAACTTTGTAGGGACTCAGTAAACATTTGTTGGATCTGAATCTGAAACTTATTTGAACTGGGCCAGACCGCATTAGAGGCTAATGCCAATTCCACCTTAATACCCGTGAACAGAAATGACATAACATGTCACATGCAGTCATATATACAATCTTAACTCTTTCTCCAAGGCAGCGGACTCCATGTTGTGTATAGGGCATCATATTCAGTGTCACACTTCAGATTGGTGGTTGGGGGGAAAACACAACTATCACACGTTTTGTCCATTTGAAAGACAATGACATCATTTTAAAGATTCAAAATTCCAGTGTGGGATTCTGGGGAAGGTATGCTACCAGGCATCCATACAATGGTGTTTGCTGACCCGCCCGCCTGCCCTCTGCTTCAGAAAGCATTGTGAGTATAGTTTCGATATTTACCTCCAAAACCCCACCGGTCCATCAGCTTAGAGATGCTGGTAGAATGGTCTGCTACGCTGGACAGAACAGCCTGCAGAGTTAAGCTGAGACAGATGGAAAGATTTGGAATGGGCCAGCATGTCTCTGATAAAAGACAGGGTTCCCTACAGCTTCCCAGTTCTACTTAGTGACCAACTCATTTGGAAATAGAGACTTTTGTGGCTGTTGGTATATGCCACCGAGCTCAGAGGTTTTGTTTATTTTGATGTCAGGGGTTGAACTCAGGGCCTTGCGTATGCTAGGCAAGCATTCTGCTACTGAGCTACATCCGCTACTCCCTCTGTGAGAGCTTTTAAAGGCATGAGGTCCATTTTTTTTTTGGATCCTGGGTTCCATCTCTAGCCCCTGGCACAGTTCCTGCCACATAATGAGCAGGCACATAAAACATTTACTGAGTGGATGCCTGGATGGATGCCTGGATGGATGCCTGGATGGATGGATGGATGGATGGATGGATGGATGGATGGATGGATGGATGGATGGATGGAAGGAAGGAACAAACATATTCCTTCCTTTAACTACCCAAATGTCTTCAGAACCACAGTCTCCAGAAGAAAATATTTTGCTGTTCCATTGGGTGTTTTGGAAGAAGGGGGAGATATGTAGCCCCGGGTGCCTCTTCGTAAGTTATTTGGCTACCTTTGGGCATGGGATCGGTAACACTGTTTAGGAAGACACGGCTATGTCCCCATTCCTCAGGTGTGCCATGGGAAAATTCAGTCAGACAAGTGCCAGCAGATTTTGACTGCATGCACAGAAATTGTCCTTTAATGTTTCCAGTGGTTTATTTGGAAACAAATTCAAACTCCCAGAAAAGGTTAAAAATAACAAACATTCTTTTGCCCTCTACCCATATTTGCCTATTAATATG